GACATGGTACCAAGCTAAGTAAACGCTGTCTTATTAACAATACGTAATGGTAATAGGACTGAGTGGAGCCAAATTCAGGGAGTATCGGGCGAATAATTTCTTTCCGTTTTGGATTATTTTTATTACGGTGAGTGCAGAATTCTTATATTAAATCTGCTTACAGCGCTAGAGCAAAAATATCGTGGACTTCAGGATCGTTTTCTTTACCAATTCAAGGCTTTCTAATAGCGTTTAATAGGTTTTCAAAGTGCGAGGAAAGAATATCTAAATAAAAGTCATTGGACCAGTTTCTTCTGACCATGTTTCTTTCATCTGTTTCTTTCAGCCTGTTTATTAATTATTTCTCTTTGATTTCGATTTGTCATGGGTCATGTAGTTAAATTTCATCGGTTAGTTACATTTGCTACTTGATTTTCATTGGCTGTCTAACTGTACGATTGCAAGCCCCTAGTAATCGGACGGTTTTAGAGTTGCAATAGAAAAATTAAGCAATAAATATGGCCTGTTGAGAACCAATCAGATTAGAGCATTTTATTGACACAATCACTAAAAATGCGTTAAATGAGTTATTAGCAGTGAATTATCAACGAACAGGCTCTTTCAGTTTCATAAAGAGTATACTGTCATAATCAGCATCTGCTGAGGGGAACATCTGACCGTGATAGCGTTTTTAACTCTTTATAAAGAACTCAATATTAACACTCATGTATATCTCTCAAGGTCAATAGCAGAGACGTGAGCATCTCTTTGCGTGTCTAGCTTGTGTGCTCTAGAGCTACAGATGTAAGGATCACCAGTTTTTTCGGTATCAAAGATCGCACGTATCCCTTCACCTTTCTCATAGTGTAAAATCATATGTCTCTGACGGAGTGGTAGTGGACACTGACATCGCGACAAGTTGTCAAAGACGAAGAAGGCGGGGCAGCCGTTTCAGTTTAAATTGATTGTCAAATATGACCCTATACTGACTCTGAATGAGTTATGGCGGTAACGTAAAATTGCAGAGCAAGGCTAGTGTTTAGATCAGTTTTCAAGTAAAGTTAAGTAAAGAAAAGAAAAGAAGCATATATGGATCGGTTTGTTCAAAGTTGCGTTTTAACTTCGATCAATTCAGAATAACATAGTTAACAGGGGCATGAACTATAACTACATTTTTTGTAAAAGTCAGCTGGCTGCTATGATTTTAAAATGGTGGCCAATTCCATCAAGTTAATCCCTAGCTTTGAAAAAAAAAAGACACACTCACGCAAAAAAAGCAAACAAAACAAGGAGAGAATGTTTTACTAGGTGTTATTTTTTAGGGCTGAGAGCCTCCCAAATTACGCCTTTTTAAGGTGGCTAAACACAGTTTTGTGGGCGGTCAGCGGTAACTCGCGTGACGGTGCGTGATTTAAATTAGACAAACAAACATGGCGGCGAAAAGGCAATGGTACACAGCAGACGATTTCTCAACATCTACTCATTAAAATTTTGTGATATTTGGCGGAATTTCTACTTTTACCGTATTTTGAATAATAAGAACTTTGAAATTGGAAGTTGAATAGACGCATTTTGTGACACATTTGATAATTACAGTACAATTATATTAATGATTATCTAAAAACCCCGTCTGTTAAAATTTGTTTAAATCAGTTTCAAATGGTAATGATTAGTTATAGTAAGCTGTGTCCAAGTTTATAGGAAAATCTGATGAGCGAATTTTATGGAAACTGAGCAAAAGTGAAATTTTAAGGTTGCATTCAATGGTTCATGTTGCCATGGAAATTTCGAAAACGTCAAATTTTACCCGTCAATCAAGATCCTTTATCAGTATATTTTTCAGTTGCCAAGTTTCAGCTTGTGAGCTGCAACCTTTCTATTGCCATGATTTGTCAAATGACATATACTCAAAAACTGCCAAAACTGTGTTCAGCCACCTTAACCTACATGATTCTAGTAGGTAATCAAAGTGAACAAAGCAAACAGGATGGCGTTGAGCGACAGATTTTCGTAGCAAATTATGCTCTAGTTTTACACGCCTATCACCGCAACAGAAATTGGTGCCTGTATATGGTGCAATGTCACGCCCTGCGACCATTTCAACCAGTCTTTGTTAAGCCGGGGCTTAACAGCTTAAAGGCAGCTATGCCCCAGGTATTTATCTCTTATTATAAGATTATTGTAGTTTTATATTGAATAGTTATTTTTGTTTTTTTTTTAATTCTAAGCATTGTTGTCCCAAGTACTCTGTTGCTATATAAGCTAAGTCAGTACTCTGCTTTGCCGCTTAAATAAAGTTCTTTTTTCCACTGTTTCGTTAACCTGCGATCAGGCGTTTTTAGGGGGGGAGAGAAGAAGGACCGCCTGATCACAGTTTACTGTTTCGTATGTTGTTTTTCAGATTTTTAATATATAGATTTAGCCAGGGCTAAAAGCGAAGCTCCAGTTAATTATACTTGTAAACAAAAAAAATTATATGGTGTAATGCTAAACAGGGAGGGCAATGAAAATGGCATCAAGATCAATAGATCTAATTAGCAAAAAAACAAACTGCACGTGCAGCACACTTTTTTTTTCTAGTAAGCAAAAAAAACAAATTTGCACGTGCAGCACGCTTTTTGTCTTTCTTTGCCGTTGTTTTTCACAACTACAACGCTGTTTTGTAGGACTAAAACGTCAAACTTCCGAATTACACATTATTTTTATGGAGGAATTGTCGTATGTGCTTACTCAATATTTTGTCTCCTGTGTTCATGTTCGCTTTTATTTTTCACTGCCGCTTATTTTCACCTTGCTGGCCGCTAGCATTTCTCATTGTCTCACAGCCGCTTTGAATTTTCATGTTTTCTTCCTACGAAATTCGTCTCTTTTGTTTTTAATCACTCGCTCTAGTTCTTTCTCTCAAATAATGGCGAAAAAGACACGACTTTGTTGTTGTTTTTTCTTTCTAAAAGTCCGGGCGGCCATGCGAATTCTTTCCAAATAAAACCTTGAGTTGCATTTGGGTTGCCATACCTGTTGATTGAATTATTTTACATTGGTATGCCTGTGGTGCGGACGGACGGTCGGGCGGTCGGGCGGTCGGTGTACGGTCACGTGATTACCAAAATTTCTCTGATTGGTAGTTTACCACATTTCTTCGCTTCGCGCGCGAGAGCTCCGCTATTACGATGAACAATTTCTTTTTCAGCTGTTTGTTTGCTTTTGCATGTTTTGTTGTGATTCGAAACAACACAAGTATATCATAAATTAACAACTTTACAACTTACGACATGATGTTAGTCAGGAAAGCTGATTGCCTTTCTTATGACGATAGAAAACTCTGAGGGCTTTTGTTAATGTCACAAGATGACAATCATGTCGTATCACTTACAGTATACCGTACGCAGTGTTATGTTACATCACGTTTTAGGGTGAAATTTAGACCCAATTCATCTCTTCCGCATCCTTTCTCGCTGTTTCAAAGGATTTTGCGGAAGCCTTAATTGTCCGATAACTGTAAGCCCGTAATTTAAGGGGTTCATAACGTTCCACGTCTATAAAGAAGATTTTAACCATGAAAGAAATTGAAAAAAGAGCCAAAGAGACAGAGAGAAGAAAACAACTCAACATATTGTGCTCCAGGTCAGCTCTGTTGTTGTCTGTAGTGAGTTGTATCGCACTGATCCACGTTGAACTCAGAATGCAGGAACATCACCGACTGATTTCACACTCAGTAACAAGCTGTGATCAGATGGAGACAGAAATACTCCGAAAATTACAAACACACAATTACAACAACTGGCAAGCTACGAAGGAAAGCCATTTAGGAGGTGATTCGCAAGAGACACGAGGTATTAAATGGCGTCAGTTATTATTTTTGTCATTTTGCACTGCAATTATCGTGTCCCTTGGTGGTGAGAGCTACCAAACCAGCTTCGAAATCCTCAAATAGATCTTAGTAAAAGGTTATCCATCGCGAGGTAAAGTTTTTTCGTCACTCAGGTTTATAGACAATTCATGCTCTGGCTATTTTCATCCCTGCTTCCATAATCTTTGTTTATGATGTTTTTTCTTGCACTGTGAACCATCATACAATCTGCACATGCCATAATACAAATGTCATGTGTCTGCCCAACTGAATTATAACTTTCGCTATGTTTGTAATCAGCAGATCGACAAGAAGCCTTGTCAAGAATAAAGCGAGCTTCACCACAAAATTCGCAACAGAATCGTATCCAAACGGTTTCTGCAGTAAAACGGATCATCAAAGAAGAGCTTCGTTTGCTGAAAAACCAAATCTGTGCTAAAGATGAAACAGTTTGCCGGTCAGGACCAAAAGGGAACACTGGACGACGGGGAAAACCGGGAAACCGAGGAAGACCAGGCCCCCCGGGGAGACCCGGGCCAGAAGGACCGCCTGGTAAACACGGACCCATAGGGCCTCAAGGACCGATGGGTTTAAAAGGAGATCTCGGAGTGCCGGGTGACCAGGGTCCCGCGGGACCAAGGGGCCAGTCGGGACAGAAGGGCGTCAAAGGTGAACCAGGGAAGTCCATCTCCATTCCTTCTTTGCTGCAGCGACCTGTTGGAACGACAGTTAATGAAAGTCAGACAGCCATCTTAAAATGTGTAGCAGACGGTAATCCAACTCCACAGGTCACGTGGTCTAAGCTGAATTCATCGCTTCCCATTGGACGTCACGTGACTACCAGTAGCGCTCTTATTGTGACGGACGTTAGACCAGACGACGATGGAGTTTACAGATGTAGAGCTGACAACTTGCTGGGCAGCATCAACGCTACGGCAAAACTAACTGTTCAGAGTAAGTAAGTGAATAAATATTGCTTACACTCCCTGTAACTTGTAACGACGAATTTTAATCCAACGAAAGCACCTGTTAAACCTGTGTCGTCCAAGCTTGGTTCTAATTATTCTTATTAATATCATTGTTGTCTCTAACTTTTGTAAACCGTAAAGCAAACAAGTGAACACAACGAGTTTGGAGCATTTCCTGAATGAGCTCCATATCATATTAAATGATTTTTAAAATAGACCTGAAATTATTTCAATCTGATAACACTTTTTTTTTGCGCTTTTCTAAAGCTGGCCCAAAAGTGTTCTTATCATCCAATCGACTAATGGCTGAAGAGAAACAAAATGTCACTATCGCCTGCAATGCTTCTGGTCAGCCACAACCAAGCATCACGTGGTTTAAGTCAGTTGGTAGTTTGCCACAGGAAAGAGCTAAAGTAAAGAATGGAGCACTGACAATTTATGACGTTAGAAGAAACGACGGTGGAATATACATTTGTACAGCAAACAATATTTTGGGGTCAGCGTCGGCGATGTCGTTAGTTGTGATATTTCCTCCTCTTCGATTCAAGCTCATACCTCCAAAAGAGGTGACTCCTGATAGGTTTGGTTCAACCGTACTTCTACCATGTTCATCAGAGAGCGACCTAAGAACGAAAATTACCTGGACAAAGGATGGCAAGTCTTCTCTTCCTGCTGACACTTATTTTCTACCCAATGGGACAATGGTTCTCTTAAACATTAAAAGATCACACGTAGGATCTTACATATGTAGGGCAACTAATGCTTTATCTACAATAGAAGCTAAAGTTAAAATCAACTCTCCACGTTTTGTAGGTACTTCATGTTCAGTGATACGAAAAGACGTCGGCAGTGTAAACGGAAATTACGTCATTGATCCAGATGGCGAGGGAGGCCAGGCACCATTCACAGTCTTCTGTGACATGACTGATAAGAGTGGAGTTGGCGTGACAGTAATAGGTCACGACAGTGAAAGCAGAACACATGTGAATGGATATAGCGGTAAAGGTGGTTACTCACGTGACATTCATTACACAGGAGCAAGTCTGTCTCAGCTGGCGAGTCTCACCCGAGTCTCTTCACACTGTGAACAGTTTATTAAGTATGAGTGTTATCACTCAGTTTTGCTTTACAATAGAGATCCATACGGATGGTGGGTGTCACGTGATTCTACTAAGATGACGTACTGGGGCGGGGCGTCTATCAGCGGCAAGTGCGCATGCAGTATGACCAACTCATGCGCAAACTCCAGGTTTGGTTGTAACTGTGACAAGAATGACTTTGTATGGCGTGAAGACAGCGGTCTGCTGACTGACAAGACAAAGCTTCCTGTCAAACAACTCAGGTTTGGAGATACTGGTGGCAGCAATCAAGGTTATCACACACTGGGGAAACTGAAGTGTTACGGAACAGCATGAACACCAACCTCAGGACTGCGCTTCTAAGCGGGTGCTTAGTGCTGAGGACAATTCTTTGTGATAATGACAGTTTTAATAGTTTGGAGTAGTTTTTATCAATATCAACGAAACTCAGCGAGGGAACAAAATTACTCACATTGGTTGTAATTTTTAATAAAGAAGTCAGTCGCAGTTTTTTTTTAAAAAAATGAGTGATTTTTCACTTTAGTTTTCATATTTGCATCATCCCGTGTCCCTGTTCTTTGGTAAAAATGGCTGCGAGGAAATGCACATGCGTTAAATATCCCTGAGAATCACGTGGTATTCTAAACAGAAAGAACTAAGGCATTTGATATTGAAAAGGGGTTGCTGAGCATGATATGATATGATATGATATGGACTTGTTGAGCATGATATGAACTTCATAAGACAGCTAGAACAACATAATTATAATACCAGAACTAAGCTGCATCTCAAACTTCCAAGTGTCAAGAGGAATTGGGGCAAGCAACGGACTGCATTTCATGCCATCAAGGATTTTAACTCCCTTAGCTTGGCAATCAGACAATCCGTAAATTTGTAATTTAAATGAATTTGAGTTAATATCTCGTACATTTTAATACTTTTTACATATTTTAGATTTTTAATGTCTTTGTGAATTGTGTGCATTTTTTATTTTTAAAACATTGTAGAGAACCGGGAAAGGTATATGCTGTTCATCAGGCAGAAGTTGTCGGCCAGGTGGATGCAAGCTTTCAGTTTCATTCCCAGAGTTCTCTTTTCTTTTGATCGCTCAAATAAGTAGCTCAACGTGACTGGATGGCATAGATTTACGCTTGAACACTTACTAAAAGCTGCTACGGCGGGGTGTTGAAGCGATAAATGCTAAAGAGAGTGACTTATTTAGGCAGGAGACAAAACAAAAAGAAGCTTATCCTCGGGGAAAGCACTGCCGGTTTAAATTTGCCACTCATTATTATAATTAGGGTTGAGGCTTGACTGTACAAATCTCCTTAGACTTAGATGTTAAAATCTGCACCAAACTTTGACATTGCAGGAGCCAGTTTAGCCTGCGAGCAAGCTCTCCTATTTGGGCGAGTGAAACGAGTCTCGCGGCCCCTCGCTCGCGCGTTGTCGCGAGGCTCCCTTCGCTTGCCCAAATAGGAGAGCTTGCTCGCAGGCTAGAGCCAGTTACGCCGTGGGACCTACAAGTCTTATCAGAGGTCACTTGAATTAAATTGTCGCTGGCGCGATGAGCAATTCCATTTCAGTTGTTTATTTGTTTAAGTTTTGTTGTTTTGCAAAACAACACAGACACTGTATCACATCAACCTGAATAGAAAGAAAACGACAACTATTGAGAGAACAAATGAGAAAAATCAGGAAATAAAGAAAACTGGTGGCCTTCATTGTGATAAAATTCTGAGGGCGGATTTTGTTCGTTCTGTATCGTGACAGGTACAGAATACAACGCAGTGTTATGTTACATCACGCTTAAGGGTAAAATTAATCTCTTCCACATTTATTCTGTATAAACAGCTCAAAATTGTCGCTTCAGCTCCTTCCTCGTTTTTTCATCACGTCTTATGGTGAAATTTAGACCCCTTTCATCTCTTCCGCTTCCTTTCTCGTTCTTTCAAAGGATTTAGAAGAAGCCTTGTCCGGTAGCTGTAAGCTCGTGATTTGAGGGGTTCATAACGTCCCACGTCTATGAAAAAGATGTTAACCATGAAACAAGGTGAAAAAAGAGCCAAAGAGACAGAGAGAAGAAAAAAAATCGACAAGTTGTGCTGCAGGTCAGCTTTGTTGTTGTCTGTAGTGAGCTGCATCGCACTGATTCACGTCGAACTCAGAATACAGGAACATCACCAACTGATATCACAGTCAGTAACAAGCTGTGATCATATGGAGGCAAAAATACTTCAAAAATTACAACCGCAGGGCCATAAAGGCTCGCAAGGTAACAGGGAAAGCCATTCAGAAGGTCATTGGCAAAAGGCACGAGGTATTAAATGGCGTCAGGTGTTATTTTTGTTACATTGCACAACAATAATCGTGTTTCTCGATAATGAGAGCTACACGAAAACCAGCTTTCAAAACCTGAAATAGAACTTAAAGAGAACGTTAAATTTTCGTCGCTATCTAACTCAAGGTTGATGTACAACTCTATAAAACGTTTCTTTTTACCCCCCCTTCCGGATCCTCCAGTACTTCCTCAATCGTAGTTGGTGTTTTTCTTCAATCATCCACAATCTACACGTGCTTTATTACAAATGTCATTTGTCCCTCTCAAACTAAATTACCACTATTTGTTATGACTGTAATCAGCAGATCAGAAAGAGGCCTTTTCAAGAAAAAAGCGAGCTTCACCACCCACTTCGCAACAGAAACTGGTCCAAACAGTCTCTGAAGTAAAACTGCTCATCAAAGAAGAGCTTCGCTCTCTGCAAAACCAAATCTGTGCTAAAGATGAAATAGTTTGCCGATCAGGACCAAAAGGTAACACTGGACGACGGGGAAAACCAGGAAACCGAGGGAGACCCGGGCGAAAGGGACCTCCTGGTAAACACGGACCAATAGGGCCTCAAGGGCCGATGGGTTTGAAAGAGGATCTTGGAGTGCCGGGCGACCCTGGTCCCACGGGACCTAGAGGCCTGCCGGGTCAGAAAGGCGTCAAAGGTGAAGCGGGAAAGTCCATCTCCACTCCTTCTCTGCTGCAGGGACCTGTTGAAACGACAGTTAATACAAGTCAGACAGCCATCTTGAAATGTGTAGCGGACGGTAACCTAACTCCACAGGTCACTTGGTCCAAGCTGAACTCATCGCTTCCCATTGGACGTCACGTGACTACCAGTAGCGCTCTGATTGTGAAGGACCTTAAACCAGAAGACGATGGAGTTTACAGTTGTAGAGCTAAAAACTTGCTGGGCAGCATCAACGCTACAGCAAAACTGACTGTTCAATGTAAGTATGACTAATTGCTTTTCTTCTTATAAGCAGATCGTTTCTATAAGAGTTAAAGACAGAGGACAACTCAACTCAACTCTAATGGTGTATGGTAATTTAAGAAGATAGATTTAACAATTTGCTTGGGGGCTGTTCGTTATAACAGCGACGAAAAAGCCGGTGTTAAAGTGGAAGTAGGGGCTGGTACAATTCTCAAAAGAAGTTGAAAATAGGGAGAGGGGGGGGGGGTACATTTATCTATGACATGAAAAAGGCGGGTACAATAGGGCCATTTATACGAGGAAAAATAAGACGCGTCTTACATAGGACGCAAACGCATAGTACGCATGCGTTAATTTTTGGCGCGCCACGTTGGATTGCCGTTGCTACGGGCAACATTCACATGAAAACGAGTCAAGAACAGAACTAAGACGCGAACCATTTATACGAGCTGTTTTCGTCTTAGATAAGACATGCTCGTATAAATGGTACGGTTCGCGTCTTATTTTTCCTTTTGTGCTTTAACCCCGGATGAAGATCTTTAATTTCAACTAGTTGATTCAAGCCCTCAAACGCCACTCTAACAAACTAAAAATATCAAACTGTGTGTTTACAATGAGCCTATTTCGACAGGTTTTTTTTGAAACCCATCATAATTTCAATATCACAGGACAGCCAATTTTAACCGTGGAGAATTGTCGTACCCAATCTGCAGTCGAGTTTCCTCCATGATTCCTAATCCGTAAAATAAAACTACGATGTGTTCCACACATCACCAGGAGCCGCACAAACCGCTCCTGACAACACCGAGGAAAGGCCTGGAACAGGCTACAAGATCTTAGGTGAAATGAGGGAGGGGTGGCAAGGTGCGAAAGGAAGGAAGAGGAAGCAAGGGAATCCATTTTTTGGCAAACGATATACCGTAAAATTCCGAAAATAAGCCCCTCCATGTATAAGCCCCCCAAAATCGTAACGCAAAAAACCCTCCGTTAAATCGCCCCTCCAAATATAAGCCCCCCCGGGGGGGGGGGCTTGTACTTGGAATTTGCCCTCGAATACAAAGTAAATCAAAGCAAAAATGGTAAATTTCCTTCCTACTACAAGCTAGCTCAATCGATTTTGAAACGCAAATTTCCCTCCGTAGATAAGCTCCTCCGAATATAAGCCCCTCCAAAAATAAGCCCCTCAAAAAGGGCCTTTGAAAAATATAAGCCCCGGGGCTTATTTTCGGAATTTTACGGTAATTTTGGGTTTTATACTACTACATGAGAAATTTCTGCAATTTGATTGGCTTAGAGCAGTAGTATTTCAGCTTAATTTGAAATACCTACATGTGAAAATTACAACCTTGTGCGGGTAGTAGTATAAACAAATAATAGCATGATTTGTACGTGATATTTGGCATAAATACCACTTGTGATATTTCAAAATTGTTTCAAATTTCACTCGCGTAACGGCTCGTGAAATTACGTATAACAATTTCGAAATATCACTTGTGGTATTAATGCCAAATATCACTACAAATCATGCTGTTACCTATACAAATATTTAAGATTTGTAAACATTTATTTGGGGGTATATTTGTTGTTTCTCTTATTCATAATCTCACCAATGCCACTCCCCTCCACTCCTCCGTAGCCACAATTCACGAACAGACCCTAACTCGGCAATATTTTGGTAAATAAAATTGAACAAAAATTACCATTTTTCAAGTTATTTGGTAGTTGTTTCTGGCTATTTTTTTTCTTCACTGTAACTTAGGAACGTAATGTTTTGTGAGGATAATTTTCCCCTATTTCTTCTAAGTTGGTCCTAAACTTTGCTTGCCATCTCATCGAGTAATGGCTGAAGAGAAACAAAATGTCACTTTCGCCTGCACTGCCACTGGTCAGCCGCACCCAAGTATCACGTGGTCAAAAGCCTTTGATTCTTTGCCTAAAGACAAAGCTGTAGTTAGGAATGGAGTTCTTACGATCCATCACGTAACAAAAAACGACCATGAAACCTTTTTGTGCAAAGCAGAAAATATTCTAGGATGGGCTACTGGCACAGTTCAGCTCATGGTGTTTTCTCCTCTGCGGTTCAAAGTCCGTCCTCCTCAAGAAATAACTCCTTTCATTGGTTCAGTTCTTCATCTGCCATGTATGGCCGCGAGTGATCTGAGAACAACAGTTACTTGGGAAGGAGATCCGAAATCATCACTTCTTGCTGCTGCATATTTTCTCCCGAATGGAACACTGCTTTTTCGAAACATCAAACAATCACACCAAGGATCTTATATCTGTAAAGCGACTAATGCGCTGACGACAATTGAAGCCAGAGTCAAAATCAATTCTCCAGTTGTTGCTACTTCCTGTTCTGTGATAAGAAAATACGGCAGTAGTGTCAGCGGAAATTACGTCATTGATCCAGATGGCGAGGGAGGCCTGGCACCATTTACAGTTTTCTGTGACATGACTGATAAGAGTGGAGTTGGCGTGACCGTAATAGGTCACGACAGCGAAAGAAGAACACATGTGAATGGACATGGCAGTCGAGGTAGTTACTCACGTGACATTCATTACACAGGAGCGAGTCTGTCTCAGCTGGCGAGTCTCGCTAGTGTCTCTCTACACTGTGAACAGTTTATTAAGTATGAGTGTTCTGGTTCCGTTTTGCTTTCCCGTTATTATGGCGATCCCTACGGATGGTGGGTATCACGTGATTCTGTTAAGATGACCTACTGGGGTGGAGCATCTATCAGTCGTAAGTGCGCATGCGGGATGTACAACTCATGCGCAGACTCCAGGTTTGGCTGTAACTGTGATAAAAATGACTATGTATGGCGTGAAGACAGCGGTCTGCTTACTGACAAGACAAAGCTTCCTGTAAAACAGCTCAGGTTTGGGGATGCTTATGGTAGCAGCGGTGAGCAAGGTTACCACACGCTGGGGAAGTTGAAGTGTTACGGCACGGCATAAACATCAACCTCAGGACTGTGCTTCAAAGTACATACTGCTAAATGCAATACTCTGTAATCCAGTTCTTGGTATGTAGCATCATTTTTTTTATCAACAGAACTGTTTTAGGAAACAAGACTACTAACGTTCGTTGTAATTTTCTATATATAAAAATCAGTTACCGTAAAATTCCGAAAATAAGCCTCGGGGCTTATATTTTTCAAAGGCCCTTTTTGAGGGGCTTATTTTTGGAGGGGCTTATCTACAGAGAGAAATTTGCGTTTCAAAATCGATTGGGCAAGCCTTACAATTGGAAGGAAATTTACCGTTTTTGCTTTGTCTTACTTTGTATTTGAGGGCAATTTCCAAGTACAAATCCCCCCGGGGGGGGGGGGG